ACCTGCCGAGATGCAAGTGCCCGGCGGAGTACCTGTAAAGCGGAATTTGTCGTCAAGGTAAGCATGGATACCTGGCCAGGTGCAAGGGCTAATGCTCACGTTGGTGCCCAGCGGTCTACGCATGTCATCATATAATGAACATAGCCAAGGGCGTAAAGCGGGTAGCCCGTGTAGTATCCATTGAAGCAAACCCAGCAGTTTATCAAGCTTTTTGCCTCAGGCAGCGTGTAGCAGCCGGCGCTGAAGTCTATTTGCCATCCTATCCAGGTTATGGAAGGCCCCATCTGCAGTTTCCGCCAGCTAAGCGGGATATTGAAGCAGGAACAGAAAGCCAGCACCAGGGAAGAGCTAAGTGGCAAGACGCGGGAGTTTTGCCGAAGGAGAAGATCATCTACGTACAACATGAGGACGTGTGACAGCCAAATAAGTAGATGTAGGCAGCGCACAAAGAAGCCTCCCAAGCGGGCAAACCAGTGGCTTGAAAAAGTGGCCCCGAAGGGACACACGCGGTAAAAGAAGAGGCGCTCTTGCTGCCGGAGTCCAAGCAGCCCCCTGTCTTGCTCCCGCACAAGTGAGGTTTTGTGCGCTCCTTTCACATCTAAGCTGAATCCAGAAACCGGCTCCTCATCCTCGCGCGGCGGATAAGCGGCCTGTATATCCTGAAGGCTGGGCAGGGAGAACTGCTCAGGAACATGGCAATTCTGGTTCGTGTTGCAGATGCTGTTATCTATCACCAAGCGGGGAGCACGACCTGGAGCCTTGACGATATTGACACGGCCAACTGCAACACGATCTTTGCCCCACCTCTGCTAAGCGGCTTCTAAGCTGGGCATTTCCTCGATGTACCCGGAGGACACCTCTTCTTCTATGAGTTCCTGAAGAAGCGCGGGATCAGCCTCAGCTCCCTGCCAGTTGCCTTATTTTCCGCATAAAAATCTTTCCAAAGAAAACTCTAAACTCAGTTTCCTTGGCACAAAATCATGTTCAAACTCAAGCCAAGACCAACATGCGTCTCTGCTGATGCAACGTGTTCCACATCGACTTCATGCAACCTGCTCCGACATGCAACTGATGCAAGCTACCAAACTCGACGGTTTCTTTTCCAAGGAAGGGGATTTGCCAGTCACTGAGCTTCTGTCTTTGAGCGTTCCTGTCCGAGCTGCTAACAGGTGAAAGAGCCGAGATCGACCCTTTTGGCACTCTGGTGAAAACTGACTTCAACCCTGCTACCTCTCAGAATAGCCTTAGCGGACGTCCTGTCGGAGCAAAGCGAGAAAGTACAAACGGAAGGACTCAGCGCCAGGCGCAAGAGTCTCAGGGATCTTCATCATCCTCAATGCTGTAGTCTTCGCTGTCTGTGTAGCCGCTTGCCTGAAACAGCTGCCTGAAGCGTTCGTGGAACAGGTGACAGGCAACTCTCAGGCGTCGCTGACGCCTGACTCGCAGGCAATCTGCAACACAGATCCACACCTCAGGCAAACTGAGAAGGTCCGTCAAAGTCTTGGCCATCTGTTCCTCAGGCGTGGGTGGGTGGGCAAGAAAAATTTTCACTCCCAACTTCGGGATGCGCAGGTTCTGTAAGCCGAAATTTTCTCATCATAAAGATTCGAAAATTTTTCTCCCGAAAATAAAGGTTTGTACTTACAGCACGATTACCTTATTTTCCGCATAAGAATCTTTCCAAAGAAAACTCTAAACTCAGTTTCCTTGACACAAAATCATGTTCAAACTCAAGCCAAGACCAACATGCGTCTCTGCTGATGCAACGTGTTCCACATCGACTTCATGCAACCTGCTCCGACATGCAACTGATGCAAGCTACCAAACTCGACGGTTTCTTTTCCAAGGAAGGGGATTTGCCAGTCACTGAGCTTCTGTCTTTGAGCGTTCCTGTCCGAGCTGCTAACAGGTGAAAGAGCCGAGATCGACCCACTCTTGGTCTGAGGGGGAGGCATATACCCTTCCTTGGTCAGTCAGAGTTACTCCCGAGAGTGGTCTGGATGCTGTTGATGATGTCTCCGACTTGCTCGATCACGCGCGTGTCCTGGATGCACGCATCCGGTTGAAGGCCTGTGAAGTCCAGCCTGGATGGCTTGTCTTTTTTTTCACTTTCAACCGCAGACGAGAGTCTCTCTGTCTAGCGAACTACGTGACCTTTCGCCACGGCTGCTCAGTGGCAGCAGAACTAAGTGTAACCCCTTCCCCGTATCCTGAGGACACGAGTGTCTTACTCAGGACGGAACTCCAGCGCACTGAACGCTGACCCTACGCGGTTCTACATGGGGCCGAGGAACGGCTCCCAGAAAAACTACCCTAGCTGCGTCAGAGCCGTTCACTGCTGACCAGCCTGGTCGCACACACCAGGTAGCAGTTTCTTTCTACTTGTTTCGGCACGGCTTTGCACCAAGTAGCTGGTTTGCCATCATCGGTGTGCCAGCCCCCGTTTGCCTGTGGATGAAACAACATGGTGCGATAATGCCCGGCACTGACTGTTGCACCTATGTGGTAAATCACTGCGTTCACCTGGTAATCACACCAATTGATGGAATCATCCCTTGAGGCATCAGTTGAGGCGAACACAGGTAGGCGGATGCAGCGGTGTTGGGCATCCAAGTGGATTGATTGCTTGGCTTTTTGAGTTCGGGCTCCGTTTTGCACAAACCTCGGCAATTGGATCCGCAGCATCTGTGGCGCCTCGTGTAGCGCCTGCACTGCGATGACCCCGTGCCAGGAGATAATCGTTTCCTGTAATACCGGTGTTTGTAGACCAGTCGCGGGATCAAGGATTAGCAATCGGGAGTCCTGCATTGCCTGCAGATTTTGATAGCCCCCGTCCACCTGCACTCGGCGGCACCACGAGACTACACATGGTAGCCAGCTCAGGTTCCGTAGCAGATGCGATGCAAGCTCAGCCACATCGTGTTGCACATGTGGTTGTCCCCACCCCAGCAGGTGGAACCTGAGTAGAGCAAGCGGTTTGACATCCACTGCACCAAGGGCGTTTAGCCAAGCCTGAGGCAAAGTAAGTTCACTCTGCATCATCGTCACCTGCCACATGAGTGCATGAAGACAGGCATTGAGATAGCACGTGTTGGAGCTGTTGTGGAGTGAAGCCTGCAGTATCAAGTGTTGTGTATTATTAGGGGCCGGCCTCCCTGGCTGAGCAGCTTCATCAGCTCCTGCACTGGGTTGGATCGGCGCATGCCGTCCTTTCTGAGCTGGCATCCTATGAGTTGCCATACTGCATTGTTCTCCAGCTTCGCGAGGCTCTGGTATAGTTGATCTGCTTCTGTGCTTCGAAGTGAGACCTCCAACTTGAAGACCGCCTTGTTCTCCGTCTCCGGTGTTGGCTTGAGCTTTCGCGGCGCGTGAAAACGCAACACCAAGGACTCCAGAATGAGCGGCTCGATCTCTGTCAGGTTCAGCATCACCTCCGTGATCGTTAGGCCTGGCATCGTGGGATGAGGTATCAGCTTTTTGTTTTCTGCGTCCCACTTTTGGTACTGCAGCCGGTCTTGCTGATCCAGCCAGCCCGCACTGATGGCCAGTTGCTTTGCCTCCGGCTTCTTTTCCAGATTCTGGAGGCGCACCTTTAGCTCCGCGATCATCAAGGTTAGCAACGTGATTCGTAGCGGTTGTGTGATCTTCGCCGGCTCGTTCTCCCGTACCTGATTCCAAGCGAGACTTGCCTGGTAAAGGCTGGTGAGTAGTCCTGCCGGTCCCGTCTGGGCCATGAAGACCGTGAAGCCCCGATCCATTTTGGCGGCGTTGATGCTGTCCTCGTGCTGGAGCAGGATGCGTGAGATCAGATTGAGGAGCTTGCCGCCGTCCTTCTTCAGTGCTTCCGCCGGGGCCGAACTCTGGCTCCCCTGTCCTCGGCGCGTGCGCCGTCTCTTGCCCCCTCCTTTGCCGGACTCCTCCCCCTTGGTGCTCTGCTGTTGCGGCGTTGCTGGAGGTCGCTTGTTGGATTCGCTCAGCCCCGGCAGCAGGTAGCCGAACATCTGGATTTGTTCCTGTGTTGTCGACATGGCTGGGAATGAGTCCGAGGATCGCAGACTGCACAATGACACAACACTGTTTAAAGTGACGGTTATAGGAAGTGCGTTTGCAGCAAGGGCATGTCCCGTCGCGCGTGAGCCGGGGCTTGAAGACAGTGCAGGTGCTTTCGAGCCGCTCCGAGACTTGCTTCCAGATTTCAGGATGGGAGTTTCTCATGTGTCTTTTGATGGACGTTGTGTCAACCATCCATCTGGCACAAATGCAGCAGTGCTGTTTTAGGTCCTCCGCGTGCTCACTGCTCACAAGGGCTTCCCAGCCCTGTTCACGAATCAAGTCCGCTACTCTTGGGTTGCGATGCGGTGGCAATCGCGGCTTCTCCTCGGTGGTCTGGGCAGCCAGTGTGGGGTTTGCCAGAGAGGGGGCGACATCCTGTGTGGGGCCGGTGTTCGGCTCCCGGGTATCCACGTCCTGTTGGTGGCATCGGCCTTTTTCTATGTGGACCTTTAGCTCCTGCCAGCTCTGGAAACGGTGCTTGCATGCAGCACACTGCGGTAGGCCTCCAATGGCATGTTCAGCCGGGTCAAATTTGATCTCCGGCATCTGGTAGTCGGGGTGTTTGCGCCTAAGGTGCTTACGTACGCTGGTCTGGTTATCGTAGTAGAACCCGCAAACCGGACACGGCACGCCTATTCCCTCCACACCTTCCTGCTTGGGCTTTTCGATCGGGACGACCTGCTGGAAGGTTTCCACGGTTCTATAGGTTTAGTTGTGCTTGCTAGCGGAATGCCGAAGGCTTTAAGCTGAAGTGCAACAAAGCATCGCATGGAGTCTGAGGTATTTTCCAGGAGTGCCGATTTGTTTCACATGTCGTAACGAGTGAGACCCGAAGCATGCAGGTTGATGGGTGGCTGAGTTTTGCCCGCCCACACTAGCGTTACAGCAGTAACGTAAAGCAGAAGAAAACGAACATTCGAGTGATACCGTGTATACCCGACGGATAGAAGCGCGCTGAAAAGGGTATGATATACTGCTGTGGGACCGATGTACGCGAGCACAATACTGTTCGGATGTGAAACGAAGCTGCAAGCGAGACCAGTTGCGATAAGGCTGTATTCGTTGAGGAGAAACGAATCAAACGTGTGGACCTCACCTGGTGGCCAATGCCTTGTGAGACGAGTGAAACTGGGTGGGAGGGTGAGGCTTTTCGAATCCGCTAGCAAGCACAACTGTTTACTGAGCCAAAATGTTTCGCACACATAAACTATAAAACATATGTGAATAAATACACACAACGTTCTGAAGGTTTAGTTGTGCTTGCTAGCGGAATGCCGAAGGCTTTAAGCTGAAGTGCAACAAAGCATCGCATGGAGTCTGAGGTATTTTCCAGGAGTGCCGATTTGTCTCACATGTCGTAACGAGTGAGACCCGAAGCATGCAGGTTGATGGGTGGCTGAGTTTTGCCCAAATAGAACTACCCAGCAACCTCGCTCCCGAAAAGCCCAAAACTATGTGAGGTTGTTCGGCACTCCTGGGGCTCGCACGGTCCAAGCCAGCGAAGCATCGCTTGGCGAAATAGAAATGGCTGGTCTAGGCAGCCAAAGATCACTGAGACGAAGCCTGATGCGATCAACATCGAGGCAATCTGGGGGAATCTCATGTTCACCCGGTCTTGAAAGTGCATCTGCTTTGGTGTTTTCTCCCCAGGAATATGGGAAACGTCAAGAGTGGTACGGTAAACTGCGGCAAGCAAAGAAATGCGTTCAAGGAAATATGCAAGTGGGCGTGAAGTCGTAAAAGATGCATTCACACCTGCTTCGGCTCCACTGTTGTCTGACACCGTCCGAAGCTTGATTCTAGAGCAAGGTATCAAGGCTGAAGATGCGATAATCAGCGCCCCTTGAGCGAGCGCTTCATAGCACGCAATGTCAAGCTGCATATCTTGCTGAACGGGAATCTGAAGCTCGCGGAATTCCTCATACGTGAATTCTTCCCTGAACCACCTTTGCCCTAACGAAGGATGCGACACGAATCCACCAATGCAAGCCCGCTGACCTTGGGCACTGGCATCTGCTTGTGCTTCCATTGGAAACACTGATGCCGGACGCATGCTGATCATAGGGCTCATGTAAAGTAGCCAGGACTCGTACAGTCCCAAGATGCGCACAGATTCTGTACTCAAACGACGCTTGTTGCTGGATTGACTGGACACACGCATCCAGATGCGTCTTTCTGTGATGCGAACGCTCTTTTGAACTCTTTGGGTCGTCACTGGTCAGGCTGAGTCAGCCTCGTGTGCCGAGGCCTCCTTGGGCCCGAAGAGTGGTACTAAGTCGCAGTTTGTACAAGCCGTGAGAGAACAGCTACCTCAAGACATGTCGGCATGAACATGAGACTGAACAAAAAGTCATGCCAACATCACTCTAGCTAGGTTTGTTGAGCTAGAGAATGTTTCAAAGAGTTCGTGAACTACGTAGTCGGAAGCAACAGCAGACTGCCAGTGCCACTACAGAAGGAGCGAGACTACAAGCAGGCTCAAGCACTCAAACTGTACACAGTGTTTCAGAGGAGCTCGTGGTGGCACTCAGTTCACCTCGCCAGCGGCCGCCGCTCCAGCAGCCACCGAGTCAGCAGCCACTGCGCCAGCAGCCACCGCGCCCGAAGAAGCGGCCCCAGCAGCCGCCGCCCCATCAGCAGCTGCGTCGTCGTCATCGTGTTGCCCATTTTGGGGTCTTGCAAGGCGTCGTTGCTCACACCACTGGCTGTAAGCTTGGCCAACGAGTGCTGAGAGGTGGATCGCCTGGGTACTCCAAGCAATGGCTTCGCGTCGTCGTCTATGCCAAGTGGCACGGGCAGAGTTGAGATGCCGTTGATGCATCACTGCACGCGCAGCGGCATCGGCTTTGTCATTGAGCAGTCTGCACAAGTCAACTGGCAAGGGAAAGTCTGGCGTCCAAGTGGCTTGACGTCCATGTGCGGGCATCCATCGCAGATTCAATTTTAAACCGCATCTGGTGGAAGTTTCAAGATGTGTGGCGATTTGTTGCACGAGCAGCTGAAGGGTCGCACACGACCGCGACTTAAGTGCAGCAAGCGCGGCTTGACAGTCCACCAAGACGTACACTTCGCCTCGTGCCCCAGCCAAGGCAGCTACAACGCACGTCTGGGCTAACTCACGGAGGGCCAGAAGCTCGGCACGGTAACTGGACTGGTCTTCGTCGTCGTCGCCAAAAGCAAAAGTCGAGAAACGACCAGCCTGGTGAAGAACGATTGCAGAGCCAGCCACGTCTTCAAGGTGCGAGCCGTCGGTGGCGATGCATGGTTGAGCCTCCTGGTCTGCCGCCAGAAGATTGCGAATAGCATCGGCAAGCTGTGCATGCTGCAAGGGCACTGGCTCAGGCGCAGCAGGGAAAGTCTCAAGCGGAGGGGCAAAGAGCCCTTCAGAGGCGCGATCAGACGGAGGAACGACCGGGTTGGTCTCGCGCAATGTGCTTAGGCCCGGGCAGCACCACGTGAGGTGCGCTCTCGACGGTTCAAGCTTATCGCACATGCACACTTTATCTGCATCAGTTGGTGTTGGGCGGTGGGACCCGCAGTGCGTGTGCCAAAAACTGGCTCCAGCTGCGACTGCGGCACGTTTTTGCGCAAGATTTTCGGGATTAAGAAAGATTTTTCTATGCGCGGCAAAACAAAACCAGGCCTGTCTAGGGGGCTTAGGGAGACTAAAACCCGAAGCGGCATTAGGGTCAACCCTGTGGTGCGAAGCTTTAATGCGACCGGCATTGTGCACGCCCTGTCGCACGTATTCTTCCTCCAGCCACTGGCGCAGGACCTTCAAGGAAGAGAATCCAAAGCGAAAAACTCGACGGCACCCGTTGCTATCGGTTTTGGCAAGGCCCTCGCCATGAGGAAGGATGGTCCACTTGTGTTTTCGGACCGCCTCAGCCGCCACCGGAAACAGATCCGACCACGGATCGACGGCCTCCCGGAGTGGCACATCATCAAGCCAAGAAGGTCGCTGTGCAACGAAGGACTGGACACGACGAAGGGCTGTGTAATCTTGCATGAAAAAGGGGTCTGTGTTCCATCCCATCATGCAGTGCTGCAAGAAGTACGGCACCTCGGGAGTGAAGCTTCTGCGAAATGCAGCAAGGACCTCGGACCTGATGGTGGAGAGAACGGCATCGCCCGGGGAAGCAACGCCAGCACACCAAAAGACAGCCGAAAACCCCAAAGTCCACATGAGTTGAGTTTTTCGGTGGATGGGCACAGGAAGGTATTTGATGAAGCGGAGGCGCCACAGCACACGATCTAGCACCAACCTGAGCGGCTTGGGGGTGCTTCCCGACAAGTCGATTTCGACGCCTAAAATTTCAAGCGAAGTTTTCTGCATGTAGCCCTGCCGTTCCGCCAAGTCCTGAAGGGAAGTGTCGCCAGGAGCTGCAATGACAGAGCATTTGGTGGGTTCGCACACTAAGTAGAAAGCTCTGTCGAACCTGGTGGATCGTTCCACCGCCTGCCCAATGGCTCGGGCAGGGTTGGCACTCTGCTCCGGCCAAAGAAGCCTGTCATCCACATACATAAGGCCTCGGATTGGGCCTTGTATGACGTAAGAGCTCCAAGCCACGCTGACAGCCAACGCCAATAAAGGACTTAGTGGGTCCCCCTGTACCAAGCCTCGTGAGACAGGAGTCCAGGCTGCGGCCGCAAATCCGCCTGCAACGAAGAGCCGCTCGGCACCCGAGTAGACGCTATTCAAGATGTGTTCCAAGCAGCTGGGTGCACCGAGCCGTCTGAGGATCGGGATTACGGCGTTAAGTTGAAGATGATCAAAAAAGCCTTTTAAATCTTGCACGACAAAAGAATTTACTTGCCTTTTTAGGGCTGAAGCAATTCGAAGGTGTGAGTCTGCGGTTGAGAATCCCGGAGCCCCGCCGAAGGCACTCGGGCTGACCCAGGAGAGGATCCATTTTCTTAAACGTTTGCAAAGACATTTTGCGCCGATGCGCCAAGCAACCTGGAGAAGCCCGATCGGGCGTGTTGACGTTACCCGTTTGGGTAACAATGCCACGAGGCCGCGGCGCCATTGCATCGGCGTCTGGGCTCCCTGCAGGATGGAGTTCCAAAGGCGTGTGAACTGGGCCCACCAGGGCATGGGTAATTCAAGCAGATGATCAGACTTCCACGCGTCTGGCCCCGCCGCTTTGCCTTTCATTTGTTTTGCGACTGCAATCAGTTCCTCCGGTTCAAAAGAAAATTCGCCAGGAAATTCATTTGAAAAAGGGGCCCTTTTTGGCACTGTTTCAAGGATGCTTTGCATGGTAGGGGTGGTGAAGTTTAAGCCTGCTGGCGCAGTCCACAGTTCTGCCCACGCCTTGCCATGTTGCTGCAAGATGGAAGTCGGATGTATCGCCGAGATGGCTTTGCTGACCTCCGGTGGCGCGGCGGCCGCATCACAAGCCTGCTGGGCGCGGGCTTTAACCCAAGCGATTTGCTTGTTGGGCTGCACCTGAAGTCGCTGCCTCCACTGAGCCATGGCAGCGGAGCGTTCCTGTGCCACGTAAGCCTCCAGCAGTTCGTTAACGCTGGGCAAAGCCGTTTCC